CTCTTCACAGATGAAAGCAGGTTCACACTGAGCACATGTGACAGGCGTGACAGAGTCTGGAGATGCCGTGGAGAACGTTTTGCTGCCTGCAACATCCTCCAGCATGACCGGTTTGGCAGTGGGTCAGTAATGGTGTGGGGTGGCATTTCTTTGGGGGGCCGCACAGCCCTCCATGTGCTTGCCAGAGGTAGCCTGACTGCCATTAGGTACTGAGATGAGATCCTCAGACCCCTTGTGAGACCATATGCGGTTGGCCCTGGGTTCCTCCTAATGCAAGACAATGCTAGACCTCGTGGCCGGAGTGTGTCAGCAGTTCCTGCAAGACGAAGGCATTGATGCTATGGACTGGCCCGCCCGTTCCCCAGACCTGAATCCAATTGAGCACATCTGGGACATCATGTCTCGCTCCATCCACCAATGTCACATTGCACAACAGACTGTCCAGGAGTTGTCAGATGCTTTAGTCCAGGTCTGGGAAGAGATCCCTCAGGAGACTATCCGCCTTCTCATCAGGTGCATGCACAGGCGTGGTAGGGAGGTCATACAGGCACGTGGAGGCCACACACACTACTGAGCCTCATTTTGACTTGTTTTAAGGACATTACATCAAAGTTGGATCAGCATGTAGTGTGTTTTTCCACTTTAATTTTGAGTGTGACTCAAAAGACCTTTGATTTCCAGACCTTTGATTTCCATTTTTAAATTTTTGTGTGATTTTTGTTGTCAGCACATTCAACTAGGTAAAGAACAAAGTATTTCAGAAGAACATTTAATTCATTCAGATCTAGGATGTGTTATTTTTGTGTTCCCTTTATTTTTTTGAGCAGTGTATATACACCCTGTTCCAAATTATTATACAAATTCTATTTGTGTCACAAAAGATTAACTGTTTTATTTTTCAGTTTAACTCATGGATGGCATTGTGTCTCAGGGCTCTTTTGATCACTGAAAACAATCCTGGACACCTGTGATAATTAGACACCTGTGAGCCCAATTTAAGGAAAAATTACTAAAGGAGGGTGTTCCACATTATTAAGCAGAGTACCATTTTCATGCAATATGGGAAAGAAAAAGGATCTCTCTGCTGCCGAAAAGAGTGAAATAGTTCAATGCCTTGGACGAGGTATGAAAACATTAGATATTTCACGAAAACCGAAGCGTGATCATCGCACTATTAAGAGATTTGTGGCTGATTCAGAGCACAGACGGGCTTGTGCAGATAAAGGCACATTGAGGAAGATTTCTGCCAGATCCATGCATCGGATCAAGAGAGCAGCTGCTAAAATACCATTACATAGCAGCAAACAGATATTTGAAACTGCTGGTGCCTCTGGAGTCCCACGGACATCAAGGTGTAGAGTCCTCCAGAGTCTTGCAACTGTGCATAAACCTTATATTCGGCCACCACTAACCAATGCTCACACACAGAAACGGCTGCATTGGGCAGAAAAATACATGAAGACTAATTTTCAAACAGTTCTGTTCACTGATGAGTGCCGTGCAACCCTGGATGGTCCAGATGGATGGAGTAGTGGATGGTTGTTGGACGGCCACCCTGTTCCAACAAGGCTGCGACGTGGTGGAGTCATATTTTGGATCATGGGAAGAGAGCTGGTCGGCCCCTTTCGGGTCCCCGAAGGTGTAAAGATGACCTCTGCAAAGTATAAGGAGTTTCTGACTGACCACTTTCTTCCCTGGTACAGAAGGAAGAACTATGTTATGTTTATATTAGGGTTAATCCAGCCTCTAGTGGCTGTCTCACTGACAGCCGCTAGAGGCGCTTCCACGCTTATCACTGTGATTTTCACAGTGAGAAGACGCCAGTGTCCATAGGAAAGCATTGTGAATGCTTTCCTATGAGACTGGCTGAATGCGCGCGCGGCTGTTGCCGCGCATGCACATTCAGCCGAGGGAGAGGAGGAGGAGAGCTCCCCGCCCATCAATGGAGAAAGAGGTAAGTTTAACCCCTTCCACCCCCTAGAGCCTGGCGGGAGGGGGACCCTGAGGGTGGGGGCACTATAGTGGTCCTTTAAGATTGTTACCACAGCATTACTCTGTAAAATATATAAATGAGGATCTACTGCATTGCCACACTTTAGATACCCTGCCCAAATGTATAGCCTTTCACTTCTATATACTTTGAACAAAAAACATTTAGTATTAAAGTATACACAATGCCAAAACCGTTCTGTCTTGTCGATGCAGTACCCATCAGTTACCAATATGACACACATCACATCCAACATACACATGGCACCACATGACATAGAGCTGTGATAAAGCAGCCATCACATACAGCACCAAATGGCATAGCTTACATCACTCACATTACACTATAACCACATCTAACACCCACATCACATTATGGTTACATTGCTACCCACAGTTTTCCTGGCAGTAGCCTATTATATTCTACACTGTTCTGTTTTTGTTGGACAAATATAAAGGCTACTATCTAAATAAAAAATATGACCAATTTTTGCACTCCCAAAAAAATGAGAAAAAGGAGTAACGTTCAGTAAATCTTCTGATATATATCTTCTATTATATATCGAGGTCGCTAAAAAAGATGAAAATATACCGACAGAAAGACAGTGAAAATTAATATAGTGTACATTAAAAAAAGGGGTAATGAGAAGAACATGCCACATGCTTGATGAAACTGTGTTTTACATCTACATCTACACCAAGCACTATATATAGAACTGGGGCTGAACTCACCTGAACATGCATACAATATAGGGTGCTGCTGGGGCCAAAATATACAACATACAAAATATACAATCCAGCACACTCGCTTATTCACTAAACAATACTTTTAAATCTCACAGATTGTAATCGCTTTATTTAAAAACACCTCACCTAGGCAAAAAATTATGGGGGTTTAGTTACATTATATAATCATATAATGCGTAAGCCTGCCACAACGTCAATGTACCCCATTCTTGGCAGGTCCTACCCGTGTGTGTGTGTGTGTGTGTGTCAAAGAGAAAATGTACCTAATGTTACTCCCTTTTCTTTTTAATTTTTTTCTCATTGGGAGTGCAATATTTGGCCATATTTATTTATTTATTTATTGTTAATTGCGGTTATCCATATGTGCACTCCCAAGGGGATATATAAGAACAGCTATATATATTTGATTGTCCTTTTTACATTTGTTTGCTGTATTGAAGTGGGCAGTGGATTAGATATTATGTATCTAAATAGACCACCTTTCCTCAACCAAGTTAGGTGGAAGTTTGGAAATCTGTCTGACAGAATCAATCAACTATTAACACATTTGTGGAGATGTCGCACTTAGTAAATTCTGAAATATTACTGTACACTTTTTGCAATGCACGGTACATTTTAAAACCTGCCCTCTTCAAAGCAGCTGTGGAAGATTTAAATTAAAAAATATATATATTTTTTTTAAATCTTAAAACATGTTTTAGGATTCATAACTTTGTGCTTCACAATAAATATCAATTACCGTATTTTTCGCTCCATAAGACGCACTTTTTTTCCCCTCAAAAGTGAGGGGAAATGGCTGTGCGTCTTATGGAGCGAATGTGAAGAATTACTTACCTGTCTTGGAGCGTGGGCCAGCTTCACAGCGCGCTCCGCGGTCCAGGAACTTCTATTTCAGGTTCCGGTTTCCGGCGGGACTGAAAGGAAGTGTGCACACTTCCTTTCAGTCCCGCCGGAAACCGGAACCTGAAATAGAAGTTCCTGGACGGCGGAGCGCGCTGTGAAGCCGGCCCACGCTCCAAGACAGGTAAGTAATTATGGGACAATGGGAGGGGAGACACTATGGGAGAAGGGGAGAGGGACACACTATGGGAGAAGGGGAGGGGGAGACACTATGGGACAAGGGGAGGGAGACACACTATGGGACAAGGGGAGGGACACACTATGGGACAAGGGGAGGGGGAGGTACTATGGGGACAAGGGGTGGGGAAACACTATGGGACAAGGGGAGGGGGACACTATGGGAGAAGGGGAGGGGTACAGACTATGGGAGAAGGGGAGGGGGAGACACTATGGGACAAGGGAAGGGGGAGACACTATGGGACAATGGCAGGGGGGACACTATGGGAGGGAAGGTGCACTATGGGACAAGGGGAGGGGGGGACACTATGGGAGGGAAAGTGCACTATGGGACAATGGGAGGGGGGGACACTATGGGATCAGAACACTAATGGACAAGGGGAGGAGGGGTTAAAGAACACTATGGGACAGGGTAGGAGGGGTTAACAATCACTATGGGACAGGGTAGGAGGGGTTAACAATCACTATGGGACAGAGGAAAGGGGGGGTTAAAGATCATTATGGGACAGGGGAGAAAAAAAAATATTCTGAACAAACTGTCCCATAGTAAGAAACACTATGGAACAGTTTGTTCAGAATATTTTTTTTTTCTGGGTTTCCTCCTCTAAAAACTAGGTGCGTCTTATAGTGAGGTGCGTCTTATGGAGCGAAAAATACGGTAACTATTATACAGTTTAGACAATTATGACTTTAAAATTACAATATCAGTTAGTACACATGCAAGGTTAAACAGTAATTTTAGTATTTTTCACGTAATATCAATAGTTATGGTACAAGTCAGTGGTTATGGTGCATGTCAGTGGTTATGGTACCGTGCGCTATTTTACACTATACACACAATTTACATGTCCGCTAAACAGCAGAGCTCAAGCTTTCGAGCAGGACATACATTTCACCAATTACAGCGTATTTTAC